ATGTTTTAGAATAAGGTGTCGGTGGAGATGGAGAGAAGCGGCTGGTACTAAGTTCTGAATACCACACAGTATTCTGATGCTATGTCTACCTTCATAATGTTTGAGTTTTAACAACAAATATGCATACCTTTTGAGTTTATGAACAACTAGAAGGCAAAAATTAAAATTATAAAAGAAAATTCCCCATTAGCATTACTAACAAAAGATATTACTTATATAAAAGGCTGTTTAACTTTGTAACAAGATATCTATTATTTTCCCACCGAAAATATAGTCAATCAGTGATTAACTAGCACAGTAGTAAGAGCTCAAAATTTAGCTCTATAGTAGCTCTGTATGGAATAATAGCTAAGTAAGAGTGGAACTGTTTTGCAGCTGTACTTAAAAAAGTCTTGTAAGATATTTCCTAGTAGACCAATTACATTAAATCTGCTATTCACCACAGTGAATATCTTCAAGAGATAAAACATTTAGGCTTTGTTATTGTTGGTTAAGTTCAGGCTGTGGAGGTTTTCTCTTTCCATGAACACTTGGCTCATGACAATGGCCAAGCCCTGGAAAGCTACTTCTAGGCAGCCATCTGTAGGCTTCTTATAATATCTTTATATGTACACTAATATACCATCATCTTTGCTTACTAAAAATGTAATTATGTTAATTATTTTCTTTTATATAAACTTAGCTCCATAGTTTCTCCTTTCTAAAATTAGAATATAACAAAATAATTTTGAACTAAAATTCCTGTTCTTTGTTCTTTACATGATTTTGGTTTATTTTATTAAAGGGAAACCTTTAGCCACTCAACTTCACCCTATCACAATGCCTCACATTGTCATAAAAGAAATGGTATTTCAGCCTCCATTCCCTAACACAGAACAGTATGAGAACAAACGCTTCTGGTTCCTCCCTCTACCTTGCCATTTCTCCCTTGGATAGAGAAATAGTTTGCCTGTTTGGTAAATTCAGTGAGAATCTGGTATTCACTGGTGATAGCTTCCTCTATTGCGGGAGATAATTGGTGTTGAAGTTCTTGCTCATGAATAGCCCTGCGTCTTGTCTGTTTCTTTTTCTCTTGGAGTAGTCCATCATCAGTGGAATATGCTTTCCTCCTCCAGCTCTTCTGTGTCCATTTGACACCTGCCTATAGAGGATTCCTGCCATTCTCTAGTTTCTCCCTTACGTTGGGGGAGATAGAATCCCAATGAGAAGAGGTCTTCATATCTAATATTTTCAGAATAATTCTGATCCTGGACTTTCATATTTATTTATCTCTTAGGCTTGGTTCGAAATTTTTCAATAACCCATAGGAGAAGATGTATATGAAATTAGAATTCTTCTTTAAATACCAGAATTGTATATCCAAGTGTCTAATATATATCTTCTTTTGGATATTTAAAAGTAACTTCAAAATTGGTTCATCCAAACTTAACTGATAATCTCCTCCCCAGAGTGAAAATCAATAAGCAATACACTTGTCCTCCTTTAGGCATTCTCTAACTCAGTGGATGATATTGCTTTCTCTCTGGTTGCATGAGCCAGAATTCACAAGTCTTCTCTGACCTCTTTTCTCCTTCATTTCATATATCCAATTCATCACGAAATCTTTTATTTTTCCTCTTAAACAAACCTCAAGCCTGTCACTTTTCTCCATCACTACAACACCACCTTATTCTAAAACACCTTCAGGACAGTGGCCATAGTAGCTCAGATGGTGGTCTGGCTCTTAGGAGTGTGGCTGTGACTCACTGGCTGGGGTGAATCCCATGGGGCCAAGAAGGGAAAGAGTCATTGGCCCAGCCATGATATACAACATGAAACTGGACAATTAAGGACTCATAAATTGAACAAAGACTACAAATTGGAGTTTAAAAGAATTACCAAAGAATATGAATGATTTGGGCCGGGCGCGGTGGCTCAAGCCTGTAATCCCAGCACTTTGGGAGGCCGAGACGGGCCGATCACGAGGTCAGGAGATCGAGACCATCCTGGCTAACACGGTGAAACCCCGTCTCTACCAAAAAATACAAAAAACTAGCCAGGCGTGGTGGCGGGCGCCTGTAGTCCCAGCTACTCGGGAGGCTGAGGCAGGAGAATGGCGTGAACCCGGAAGGCGGAGCTTCCTGTGAGCTGAGATCCGGCCACTGCACTCCAGCCTGGGCGACAGAGCGAGACTCCGTCTCAAAAAAAAAAAAGAATATGAATGATTTGTATGCCAAAATATTAGATAATCTAAATTAAATAAATAAATTCCTAGAAACATACACTCTATTAAGCCCGAATCATGAAGAAAAAGAAAATTTGAACAGAAGTATGACCAGTAAGGAGATTGAATCAATAATCAGTATTCTCCCAACAAAGAAAAACCCAGCACTAGATGTCTTCACTGCTGTGTTCTACCATACATTTAAAGAAGAATTAACACCAGTTCTTTTTAAACGCTTCAGAAACTGAAGAGGAGGGAACACTTCCAAACTCATTATATGAGGCTAACATTATCCTAATAACAAAACCAGACAAAGACACTATAAGAAAACTACAGATCAATATCCCTGATGAACACTGGTGCAGAAATTCTCGACAAAATATTAGCAAACTGAATTCAATGGTGTAGGTAAAGGATTGTACACTGCAATAATTTGGTTTGTTTGTCCCCTCCAAATCTCAGGTTGAAATTTAATCCCCAGTGTTGGAGGTGAATCCTAGTTAGGAGGTCTTTGGGTCATGGGAGTGGATTATTCATGAATGGCTTAATGCCATCTTTGTGGTAATGAGTGAATTCTTGCTCTGCTAGTTCTCACAAGAGCTGGTTGCTAAAAAGAGCCTGATACCTCTTTCTCCTCTCTCTCTTGCCTTTCTGGCCATGTGAGCTCTGCACATGCTGGCTTCCCTTCACCTTTTTCTATGAGTGAAAGCAGCCTTAACCCCTCATCAGAAACAGATGCTGGCATTATGCTTCTTACACAGCTTGCCAAACCCTGAGCCAAATTTTCTTTATAAATTAACCTAGCCTCAAATATTCCTTTATAGCAACACAAATGGACTAAGAGATATACCATGACCAATTAGAATTTATCCCTGGAATGGAACAATATTTTAATATACAAAAATCAAACAATGTAATCCACCACATGAATGTAATGACAGACAAAAATTTACTGATCTTCTCAATTGTTATAGAAAATGCACTTGACAAGATTCAACATGATTTTATTAAAAATAAAAAACTATGCAGTAAACTAGGAATAAAAGCAAACTATCTCAACATAATAAAATTCATATATAAAAAGCCTATAGCCAATGTTATACTTACTGGTAGAAGACTGAAGATTTTTCCTCCAAGATCAGAAAGGAGACAAGAATGCCCACTTTTGCCACTTCTGTTTAACATAGTGCTGGAAGGTCTAGCCAGAGCAATTAGGCAAGAAAAAGAAATCAAAGGCAACCAATTGGAAAGGCAAAAGTAAAATTATCTCTGTTCACTGATATGATTTTGCATGTAGAAAACCCTAAAGATTCCACCAAAAAGAAACTGTTAGAACTAATAAATGAAATCAGCTCAGTGGCAGGATACAAAATCAGCATGCAAAAATTAGTTGTGTTTCTATGCATTAACAAAGAACAACCTGAAAAGGAAATTTTAAAAATTGTTTACAATAGCATCAGAAAAAAAAAAAAAAGAAGAACGAAAAGAAACACTTAGGACAAAATCTAACAGTGAGGTGAAAGACTTGACTTGCATGCCAAAAGCCACAAAATGTTGCTGAAAGAAATTAAAGAGGACACAAATAAATGGAAAGACAGCTCATGTTGAGGGATTGGAATATTTGATATTGTTGAGAAGTCAATACTACCAAAAGTAATCCACAAGTTTAGTGTAATCTCTGTCAAAACCCCAATGGTATTATTTGCATAAATAGAAAAATCCATCCTGAAATTCTTCTGAGATTGAAGGAAACTAAATAGACAAAGCAGTATTGAAAAGAAAAAAGCTGGAGATCTCACACTTCCTGCTTTCACAACTTACTACAAAGCTATAGTAATCAAAACAGTATGGTTCTATTTAGCATAAGACAGATATGTAAGCCAATGGAATCAAATAGAGAATCCAGAAATAAACAGTTGAATATGTAGTCAAATGATTTTAGACCAGCATGCCAGGATGATTGAATGAGGAAAAGAGTCTTCTCAGCATATGGTGTTGAAAAAATTGAATATTCACATGCAAAAGAATGAACTTGGATCCTTACATTATATCATATATCAAAATTCAAAATGGATCAAAGGGCCTAAATGGAAGAGATAAAAACATAAAATTCTTAGAAGGAAGTATAGCGGAAAACTTTATGAGATTGGATTTGGCAATTATTTCTTGTGTATGACATGAAAATTTCAGGATACAAAAGAAAAAGTTGATAAATTGTACTATATTATTCTTAGTAACTTCTGTGCATCGAAGGACACTGTCAACAGAGTGAAAATGTAACCTACGGAATGAGAGAAAATATTTGCAAATCATATATCTGACAAGGGGTAAATATCAAAAATACACTAAGTGCTCCTACACCTCAACATAAGAAAAAAAGCAACACAATTAAAAAATGAGCAGAGGAACTGAAGACATTTCTTCAAAGAAGATACACAAGTAGCCAATAAGCATATGAAAATGCTCAGCATCACTAATCATTAGTGAAATGCAGATCAAACCACAATGAGATACCACCTAATACATCTTCGTCTCTCACCTGACCTACTGCCTCATTGCTTTATAATCAATCTACTAATTGTTCAGTGAGTTCACCACATTATAACAAGAGGCATCTTTCCCACACAGATGATGGCATTCTATTACTTTCTCACAAAGACAAAACTCCTAGCACAGCCTAAAACAGGGGTCAACAAACTTTCTCTAAAAATGATAAATATATTAGGTTGTGGTGAGCCTTATGCTCTCTGTTGCAACTGTTCAACACAGCTATCATAATAAAAAAACATCCAGAGGCAATAGGCAAACAAATAGTTTTTATTAAGCAATGAACATGGCTCTTAGCAGAGAGGGGAGTTGGAGAGGGGATAGGATGGGCAGGTCATCTTCCCCTGAAGTCAGGTAATCTCTTCCATAGTTCGGCTGTTTCTTCCCCGAAGTTTGGCCATCTATTCCCCAAATTCCATTTTTCTCCATGAAGTCCAACAATCTCCCCTTTTGTTGACTGAGTCTGGAGTCTTTATAGGCACAGGATGGGGATGGGGTGGGCCGTAGGTAGTTTTGGAAAAGGCAACATTCTATTGGTAAAAGGGCATTATTCAGAAAAAATCAGTCAGGAGAGGGTGAGCAAATAGGAATAGAAGTTCTCACTTTTAGCCACTTTTTTTTTTTTTGGCTTAAAGCTTTGGTTTCGCTGGTCACACACCTCTGTCTGACTAGAATTTCTCTTCCTCCTACCTCTATTAACATATTGCAAACAAGAAGCTACAGCTAAAGGCTAGATGGATTATAAGTTAATCATTTGGGTGCCATATAATAATATGAGCAGTATTATGCTGACTTTTGGTATAAAGAATATAACACAAATATGTGTGTATATATATATATAACTGAGGGTGTCTATATGAATGTTTAAGTTTGTCAAATGCCTTTAGAGGTGATTATATAAGTTATCTTCTAATATTTATTAATATTATCCTAATAATGAAGTACTTTTGCATTCCAAGAGTAAACCAAATCTGATTGGGATATATTAATGATGTAAGATTCTACTTGCTGATATTTTATTTAAGATGTTGACATCAATATTAATGTGTTATCCTATAATTTATTTTTTTCAATTATTAATTTTAAAAATTATTAATCTTGTTTCATAAAACAAATTTGGACATTTGTATTTCTTTCCTATGCTCTGAAACTATTTAAGTACCACTAGTATTTTCTTTTCATTAAGGTTGGTGAAATTTTTCTGTAAGCATTGTTTTTGCTGTATCTTATAAATTCTGACATATAATGTCTTAATTATTATTTTTTCTATTGTTTCTATGCTGAAATTTTGTTTGTACTTCCCTTTTGACTCAATGATCATTTAATAGAAATGCTTACTTCCAAGTGGAAATTAATTGATCCTTTCTAATTAGTTGAACTGTGCTCAGGGAATGTTATTTGCATTGTCTATTCTTTGGAATGTAATGAGGTCTTTTATGTGATCTAATAGAAGACCAATTTGGGTGAATGTTTTCGTAAATACTTAAAAATCAGATATATTTGTTATTATTGAGGTAACTATTTTATCTTTATTATAACTTGTAGACTTCTTAAGCATCCTAGCGTTTTCTTCTTAATCTTGTTAAATTATTTTTAGGTGGAATTATACCTTGCAGTGTTATCAATCTAGTAGTGTTATCAACAATGTGACATTTTGCTATGTTTTCCTGGAAATATATTGTCCATCCTTTCATTTTAAACTTTCTTAATTACTTTTTTAAAACCATGTTTCACATTACAATGTGGAGTTTTGTTTCTGTTTTGTGAACCAATCTAAATATCTGCCTTTAGTAAGTTAAAAACAAGTCCATTTATATATTGTTATAACTTACATATTTTAACTGGGTTCCACCATTTTATATTATATTGACTATAAACATATATATGATACATTTCTTTTGCTCCTTTTTGGCAGTTCTGGTATTTTGGAAGATTTTCATTTTCTTTCTTTTCTTTATGTTTTGAAGTTTTTTATTTTTTTCTTTAGGTCACATTTCCAAAAATGACTTGTCTAACCTAGCTGGGACATTCTATGCCATGACTCTCAATCATTTATTCCTTTTACGTTTTCTCATATTATAATAAGTATCTGAAGTTACCTCATTGGTTATTCATTTAATAATTTATTGGTTCTGGCTGGGCGAGATGGCTCACGCCTATAATCCCAGCACTTTGGGAGGTCGAGGCAGGCAGATCATGAGGTTAGGAGTTCAAGACCAACCTGGCCAACATAATGAAACCCCATTTCTACTGAAAACACAACAACTTAGCCGGGCATAGTGGTGGGCACGTAATTCCAGCTACTCGGGAGACTGAAGCAGGAGAATTGCTTGAATCTGGGAGGCAGAGGTTGCAGTAAGCAGAGATCGTGCCACTGCACTCTAGCCTGAGCAATAGAATGAGATTCCGTCTCCAAAAAAAAAAAAAGAAAGAAAAATTTTTGGTTCCTTTCTACTATAAATTTCTTTTTATCAGAACTTCTCTCTCTCTCTCACTCACTCTTGCTCTGACTCTTTCTTCATGGTATAATTAGAGCTTGCAACAGTACACATTGTGTAACAGAAGATAGTTAATAAATATTATGACTGTTAATTGAAACTACTTTTTAAATGTCTTTCAGCATACTTTTCCTAGTAGTGCCTCACTCATTTTAGGCACTCAGTAAGGATTTGTTACCACTAAACTGAAACTGTGAAGACTATAGCCTTATGTAAAATGTAAAATATGATTATGATAATGATAGCTAATACTCATGGAGAATTTACTGTCTGCAAGGCACTGCTCTAAGCCCTGCACTTATTAACTCATTAATCCTCACAATAACTGAGTCACAGAGTGGTTAAGTAACTTTTCCAAAGTCACCGAGCTGGTAGATTTGTTGGTATTAGAAGGGGTAAAGGCTATAACCATACTGAAGATGAGAAATGTCAGAAATAACGTCGTCTTAAAAGTAGAAGATTAATACTACACTAATACATTTTTGTTACTATTGTATCCTATGTATAATTCTTATCTCCTGTATTATATTTTAAGCTTTCTTGGAAGCAGGCATTTTTAAAGTCCTCATAGAGCATAGAAGGGTGCTAAGTTAATAATAACCAGAAAAGTAACTTATATTTTCATGGCACTTACTATATGCCAGACTTAGTGCTTTAAATATATTAACTCATTTAATTCTTACAAGAGCAGGTACTATTATTTTTCCCATTTTACACATGATAAGTTAAAGCACAAAGAGACTGAATAACTTTCCTGAGGTTACACAGCTTGTAAATGACAAAAGCAAAATTTGAAGCCAGCCAATCTAGTCCAATGTCAGTGTTTTAAATCATTATGCTGTGCTACTCACTGAGTGCTTGTGACTGATTAAAGACTCCAATGATATACATTTCATTATAGGTATATATGATTCTAGGCGTGATTTCTCCACAGGCTTATCTAAGTCCCAGATTTACACTTTTAGATAAGCCACATAAAAACAACTTTGAGGTGTTAGTGAATCATACTAGGTGCATTAGGAGGTACATTCACAAACATTTACAAGTCTCAGAGACTATGATTTATCTTTAGATAACATTGATCATTTAAGTAAGGTCAAATTTTAGATTATTTTTGAAAATGACAGCAACGCTTTGCACTTATTCAATATTGTTCTTTAACCATTCTTCTCCAGATACAACGTAGACAGGAGATTACTAAAAACGACCACAAATTTGGAAACGTTAATATTTTGAAAGCATACTTGCCAAAATAAACATCCCAAATTAGATATAGCTATTTTACTAAACAACATTATGATTCCTCTTCAGAAGTATTATTGTTTAAACCACTACAAATTTCTTTTATTTCCTATAGAATATTAATTTCATATTTCAGAAAAAGAAAATAAGAGATGATTAAGTGCAAATCTCAAGGCAAAACTTGTAATTTTGCCCATATTCATGACCACAGCTATATTAAGAAACAACAACATAAAATGTTTTCCAAAGAAACAGAAGCAAGTGTTTAAAACAATAACCACAATTACACACTACTGTTGAATCAAGCACATTTATAATGGAGCAAAAATACATTACAGCCACCAAAATACATATTTCGTTGTTTCTGACTTACTGGATCACCACAAATAGACCTATTAATATGGCATTGGATTCACATAAGAAACTAGTACTACTCTTTAAAATTAAATGAAAAGATTATTTTCTTATCTATATATATATATTGCATATGTAGTATTACACACAGTATTTACATATACATAGAATACATGTAGTATTTCAGATCAGTAGCATTTTACATATTTTATATATAGTTTTTACATAGAAATATATAAAAATCATAGAGTATAACATAGAAGAATATAAAAAATTGTTACTAGAGAAAAAGAAAGATATTTTGTAATGATTAAAAGGGTCAAACATAGTTAAAAACTAGAAGGAAATTAACCTTTTATATCTTTGAATGTTGCAAATGCAGAGTAACTTTTTTCTCTTAAGTGTTTCTAATGTTTCCTTAATTTCTAGTATCAGCTGGTATAACGTTTAAATCATTACACAGTGTTACAAAATTCTGCTACAAAAAATCAGATAAATAATTATTTATTTGAGAAGATTAGCAATACGAAATAGCAAACATCTCCTAAATAACCTGAAAACAATAACCCATATAATTCCAAGTTTAGTATTTGTTTTGGCATGAAATAAGTTTCAGCACCCCAGTAACATAAATAATAAATTCATAGTAGATGTACTGAAACACTTTTATAAAATTCAAAAAATTACATCAAATAATGTTCTACAATGGCACACTAAAGGAATACAGGAGTATCATATCATTTCTATAAGTTGACATAATAACTAACAATAACAGGTTAACAATATTGCCCTATCATATATAAGCAATGTACACACAAATTTATAATAGCTAGTCCAAACACCATAACTTAATATTATAGAAAATAACTATATATGTCTGAATGGGAGACGAAGAATAAGAAGTAAAGGGTCCTACCTTCTCAAAGACTAAAACCCAAAAGTATTTTCGATGTTTAATTACATTCTTTTGGTAGATAACAGACCTTCCCTACTGGGTTAAATCCAATCACAACTTTCTAGGCCAACAATTAACAGATGCTGACATCTTCATTCAAGAACAGCCATGAAAGGTGCATGCATTCCAAAAAAAATTGTAAAGATATAAATCAATTTGCAGAAGTTAATATCATTATCCATTCTACGCTTCTTATTCTCGTCAGAGAGGAGAAGGGCTTTCTTCTGGGCTGTCTCTTTCTTAACTCCTTAGGGAATCAAGGCTTAAAGTTCTTTGGCTTTTAAATAAACATATGTCTTCATAGGCGGGGAGGAGGCCCAACTAGCAATTTCAAATCATTTTCTTACCATTCTCAGAAGTTCCACTTTGGCCAGACTCATTAAAGAGAATGACAAATTTCTATCATTTTAGGACAGTTCTTTTGGGGCAGGGAAAACAAGATAAAAGAAAAAAATAACTGCAAGTGGAACTGATATTTGAACAAGGAAGGAAAGAAATATTGGAATTTAAATGGACCATTTCCAGGAACAAGAGCACAAGCACACTTTCTCATCCTCTTCTTGCTCTTCAGTCTGATGTGGTGATCCAGATGGGACACCCACTTCCCAGTTAGTCGATTCTAGCCACGGGCTTCCATCCTCTGAATAAGGGCATGGGTTTCTAGTCTCTGCATATGGAGGTGATCCTCTCATTTCAATGTGTGGACCTTCATAGGATGAACTAGGATACATTTTGTCTCCTTCATTATGTCTGATTTCGGGACCACTGAGTTGAGGTGTAAGAGTTTGCATTGCAAAAGAAAGGCAAAATATCCTGAAGATAATTTCATCCTCGTGAGATACTTTTTGGGCTCCCTACAAATTCTTCCTGAAATAGCTGATGCTGACTCACTTGCTCTGGGAACACATTTATTGTGGCCAAATTTTTCACGGCACTTGATTGTGAGATCTTAGATTAGTAATGTTGCTTGGCAACACAACAGCATCCCTAGACTTTTTCAATTTGACTTACCTAAATTCAAGTTTCAAACTTTCAGAAAGAGCACAGATGGTTTTAAGATTTAGCATTTTATATTTATAAGAAAGAATATATATATATATATTTGATTCAAATTTATGCTCCTAGCACAAGAAACTCCAAGTTTATCTGCTAAGCAATTCCATTTATATCTATGTTGAATGTCCTTGCCATTTCCTGCAGTCTACATCCCAGCTGTTCTCGTCACTACCCACAGTCAAAAACTCTCTCCTCATATGCATTTTTCATTATAATTTCTGCTCCAGAAAGGAATGTGCAATAATCCTATAATGTCTTCATATTCACACCATAACATGATAAAAGAAGGAAAGAATAAAGGAAAGAAGGAAGGGAGGGAGGAGAAAGACAAGAAGGAAGGAAGGGAGGGAAAGAGACAGGAAGGGATAGAGAAGGAGGGAGTTTGCATCTAAACTTCTATTCAAGAAATTGCTTTCTTTAAATATGGCCAACACTACCTTTAAAATAATTTATATAGAGAGTAAACATCTCGAAGATTTTGCTTTTCTTATATAGAGAGTAAATATCTCTAAGAAATTGCTTTTCTTTATGTGGCAAATACTACTTTTGGAAGAATTTATATAGAGAGTAAATATCTCTAAGATTCAAACACAGTGTAATAAGGGTAGAGTAGACATTTCTTCATAATTTAGCATATCACTAACTGCAAACAATTTTCAACAAAAGTATTTATTTATTAATGCAAGTTATTGAAAACATTTAGAACATTCCAAATGTGTCAATGTGTGTATAACAAGGGCAGTAGAAGCTAAATTTAGAAAAAGTGTGATCGTGAATAATTTTTATTTTATTCTTTTTTATAAATTTTCCACAATAAATACACACAACTTCTGTAATATGAAAAATAAGCCAGTGTAAGATGCTTTTATGAATGTTGTGCAGTAGAGTAAGTCGATGATCAGTTTCATTCTGTGCTGATTATTAAGTTATTCCGTGTCATCTGCTATCTTACCCTTTTGGCTTAGTTTTCTGACACTGAGGTCACAACTCTGCAAATAATCTTGCTCCCTTCTAGCTGCTTTCCTGTTAAAGTCTACCAATGAAGGAGCTAAGGGAAATTTAAAGACAGAAATAAGAGAAGGAACATGGTCTTCCTATTTGCTTGTTGTTTCTGTAGGTTTTGTCCCGGCAGTGCCCCGGCTTCCTTCAGCACTCCCAGAGCAAGCCTTCTCATACCCCATTGGTAGTACTAGCATGAAGCAAGTATCCTTTCTTCAGAGATCTGATTCCCAGCTACCGTTTCCATTTATTGAGTCACATCTAACACTGCCAAATTGAGTGGAGACCAGAGCAAGTGAAGGCTCTCCAGCAAGTGCAGACTGTAGTGCAAGCTACACTTCCCCTTGAAGATCAGCAACAGTTCCTAAGGTCGTAAGTATCTGTGGTATACAGGGGCACCACATGGAGTCTTTTGCAAGCCCTCATAGGAGGATTACAATGCAGACCTCTAGGGTTTGGGAGCAAATCTATGTCTTCAACATACTCGCTTCTTTTTTTGAGAAACAGTTACTGGAATGCTTTTGATAATTGTAGAGCCTGAAAGCCTGACCAAGGAACATCAAAATAACTGTGCAATCTGAACTGCCCCTCATAAACTGGGTGTCATATGGTCCACCAAGCCGTAAGTTTGGTAAGCAATTAATCATCAAGTGGACATGCTTGCTAGAGATGCACATGAGAAGGTGGTTCAATGCCTCAATTTGTCCTTCACGTCCTTTGAGACCTACTCCATCTTCATTGTCTTCTCTCACTCAATCCAAGGGAATTCCTTATAACTGAGAAAGAAAACCTTGAGCTTAGTGTACAAATGGTTAGATCCCAAGGAAGGAATGTACACACAGACACCAAAAACTCCATTAAACTGGAAGTTAAAACTGTAGCCTGGACACCTTGGGCTCACACCATTGGGTCAACACTTGAAGGAGGTTGTTGTATGGAGAAGAGCAATTGATGTTCATATTTACCAAAGGGAACCTGAGTAGCTTCCCAACAGCGAGGGAGGCAGAGGGCACACTGACTGGATTCTCTGAGCACCTATTAACACTTTATGTCCAGGCCAGGCACGGCGGCTCATGCCTGTAATCCCAGAACTTTGGGAGGCCAAGTTGGGTGGATCACTTGAGTTCAGGAGTTCAAGACCAGCCTTAGCAACATGGCGAAACCCTGCTTCTACCAAAAACAAAACAACAACAAAAAAATGCAAAAATTAGCTGGGCATGGTGGCATGCACCTGTAGTCCCAGCTACTCAGGAGGCTGAGGTGGGAGGATTGCTTGAGCCCTGGAGGTCGAGGCTGCAGTGAGCCAAGATCGTGCCACTGCACCTAGAAAACTAAGCAACTACACAAAAGCCTGTTATTGAGGATTCAGATCCTTCAGAAACAAAAGTTTAGATAAGCCCACTAGTAAAGAAATCTAGTCAGCTGAGGACAAGGCGGGCATGGTATAGATGTCAAAAGAAGAAAGTTAGAGATGTTAACCATGCTCCCGTGATTAGTTTCAGAAATGAGGACAAGAGTAGTGATATAAACTTTCTGCCTTTCTTGTTACTTACAGGTATATTTGTAGTAATACAAATTAGCTAATTTATATTTATTTTCTTTCATTTTTCACTCCTTATTTTACATATAACTCATTGGATCATGGCACTTTTACTTACACTTTAGACTTTATATTACCAATTTCCAGGTGGGACTGTGATAGAATTTGAGGAGTAATGAACATCACTGAGAAACTGATACCATGAGTTTTTCTGGAAATTGTTACTGTGGTTGAGACTTTATGGCTCTCTCTTTCAGAGAGAGGAGAGAGCAAAGGATGGATAGTTGCTTCATCTTTCTAGACAATGGCATAGCTTTTGCTTTATGGAAATTCAAAAATTAATAGAAAGGTATATAGATGTAGAAATGGTCAAAGGAGTGAACTATGCCAGTTTATTAGATTGGTTTTTCTCAGTTCCAAACTCTTCATTCTATGCTCAGCGGAGACTCTGTGATCTACTTTTCTCCCTTGCCAGATTATGTCTTTGTTGGTTCTGTTAGTAGAAGGCACTGGCGGGAGAACGGAAGGCAGAAAGGAGGAAGGCAGACTCCATCCTATTTGCTTACTGTTCCTTCAACATTTCCCTACTCAGATCCTTTTCCTAGCAGCAGCAAAAACAACATCTTAAAAGACAACAGAGTAAGACAAGCAGAATCTTTCCCTGAACTGTCTGGATCTCGCTCTGTGGGAACCCCTCCCAGCGTCTGGGCTCTGATAACCCACCCCAACACCTTCCTGTTTCCCTCAGCCCTACTGGCAAATCTACTTCCTGCAGTTAATTTATCTGTTCCCTTCATGTTCCTTTTTTACTTCTTTAGCTATTCCCCATACTAAATTCTTTCTGTTATTATAATTAGTGTGGTTTCTGATTTCCTGACTGATATGAGTACTTATTACATTGGCCAGATACTGTATTTTACATATATTGTTTTACTTAATCTTCACAAACCCTGTGAGGTCTAGTGTGTGTGTGTGTGTGTGTGTGTGTGTGTGTGTGTGTGTGTGTGTGTATTCCAATGTATTGGATATATAATATTCAATCTCATATATATGTATATATGCATAATTCAGTGTATTGAGGCTGGTAAAATTGAATGTAAACTTTTTTCTTTTAACATACCCATCTTCAAAAAGGAAATCAATGTTAAAACTTGGATTTGAACCAAGATTAGATTGACCCGAAAGCCTACCAACTGATAAATAAACAAATGTGGTATAGCCATACAATGAAATATAATTGAGCAACAAAAAAAAAAAAAGAAGAATTATTTATACATGCTACAAAATGGACGAAACTTGAAATTATCATGTGAAAGAAAGCAGACACAAAAAGGAACGTTTTGTATGATTTCCTTTATGTATGAAATGTTCAGAATAGGCAAGTATACAGACACAGAAATTTGATTAGTGTTTGTCAGGGGCTTAAGGTGATTAACTCCTTAGTTTTTACTCCAGGAAAATGGTTATTTTACTTTTGTTAACCAACTTCAAATCAATTCAGAGAATGGTCTAGAGTTTTGTGAGTAAACCACTATTTTACGTATAGTGCTTGTATTTTCCCCAAAACGCTGCCTCACAGAGAGCACTTTAATTTTCCATGCTATTGCTACGTTGATCTCAACCTTGAAAAGAAAAGTAGTTTTGATCCTGGACTGAAAAGAAGAGGAGGTGGTGCATTTCACAGAAGAGGAATTATGGACGGCTAACAACATTAGTAAGATGCTCAACTTCACTAACAGAATGTAAACAAATGAATGTAACAATAGAATATCACCACACACACACACTCAGACAGGCAAACATGAGCATGGTAGCAAGAGAGGAAGGAAACTCTCATCTATCATTGGTGGAAGTATAAACAGATATAGCCTTTTAGAAAAGCATTCTGGTGCTATGTGTTAAAATTAATAATCCACATAGCCTCTTATTCAGTAACCCTACTCTTAGTATTCTATACCATAAAAATAAAAGTTTCAATGCATAAGGATATAGTGACAAAGAGATATTTGACAATTTTGGAAACAAAGTAAATGTCTACACAATGAGGCATAATTTAATATATTGTGATAATTTCATACATTATCACCTAGCCATTTGAAAGAATGACCCAGATCTATATATATTTCCCTGGAAATATGTTCTTGATAAACACCAAAGGAAAAAAGCTAGTATGGAGAAACAGATACAATATTCCATTTATGTAAAAGAAAGTGGCAAAATGTGTTTCATAGGTACCATGCATATTT